AATAACAGATGTCACTTTCCAGCAGGCTAGAAAGCAAGACTCTGATAACCACTTGCTAAATAATTTTGAAAGTATAGACAACAGCTCTGGCAAACACTTCTACAAGATTATAACAGGTATGTTGTCTGGACCACAAGCTGTAGAAGAGTCTAAGCAGGAAATCGCTTTTGATACAGAAGCTGGAGTGATACAAATGTTAAACAATGAATCAACCTGTTTGACAGCTATATCAGGTAGAACATAACTAGTGGAATCATAAGAAGATATTGATGAAATGTTCTTAACAAATAATTCAGCTTTGCCTTTAGGTGAGGTGACAAAATCTAAACCATACAAGAGAGGTGGAACAACAGATTTGCCCTAATTTTAGATACTGTTAAAGATTCTCCAGAAGTCACAAGAGCTTAATTTTCTAGATAAATACAAGATTTCATGACCTGAGAATAGCAGGCTTTGGCGTTAGACAAAACCTTTTACAATGGCTTCTAGGACATCTGTTTTCTGGAGAATTGTTTTGTTTTGCTGCTAGATATTGACGTAATGGTTTCGATTAGAAGTAGCAGCAGCACAATGTGAGGAAAACCATTGAGAGAGTGAGACTTGACTTGGAATTTTCGAGAGGGATGAAAGATTCCATGCCAGGCTGAATCCAAGAAGTTATGTAAGAAGCACGTTTGTCAGCAGGAAAACAAAAGATTTCTATCCAAGGGCCGTCACAAAGAAAATCACTGAAAGAGACCCAGTTAGTTTTAAGGTAGTTTTAAGAGGTATGATGATAGGGGGGTTCTGATGATAAAGAAGGTTGAGATAATAGTTTTATAGATATCAAACTGTGATCAGAAGCACCTAAGGGTGAATGTGGAGAAAGTGAGCACTGACTAGAATCAGAAACAAGACATAAGTCAAGTAAATGGTTCTGATTGTCTGGAAAGCGAGTTCAAAAGTTGACTATTTGAATTAGAGATTGAGAAAGGCAAAAGTCGTGGGCCTTAATGCATGCTGAGTCATTAACACTAGATGAGCATTAATAAAGTCACTAACGTAATAATTTTGGCTGATGAATAAAAAGAGAGGGCTCGGTCAATTTGGTCAGAAATAACATCTAAAAGAGTGCAGTCTTGAGATAAAGGAGCCATATAGAACAAAGGGAAAGGCGATAAAGTGAAATAGTGCTAAACAAAACGGCATAAAAGAATAATCTGTGGATTCAAACTTAGTTTTCTGACAAATGGGTGAATTCTTACAAATGTAAATGCCCATGCTAAGCATGTGACTATTGGAGTCTTCGAATTAAAGGAAGATAACGATCAACACTAAGATCACAAGATAAGACAGTCAAACTCAAATTAGTCTAACAAAGAACAAGAAGATCTAGTGAATTTTGCAAATAATACTCAATAAGACTCAACTCAAGAAAAGATACTTCGAAGATCACAAATATTAGGCAATGATAGGTTTTAGAGAACTTGGTGATGACAACGGTTTTTTGTGTTTTACGGTTTTTGGTGTTTTACAGTTTTTGGGGCATTAGTCATTTTTTAAATTTATTAAAGAACTTGACTCAAGACATGATAGTGCTCAGTACACTATTTAATAGTCCAAATGATTGCCTTATTACTATTAATAAACCTTATGTCGTAAAAGAGGGCTCCAAATGTTGCCTTAAAAATACAAACCAAAAGTACAAACAGGGACACCATCCATGTGCAACATGGTACTGTTAGTATTCTGATATTTTACAGCCTCAAGCCATAAAACTAATTTTTACAGCTGTTGATATAATTACCCTCTCTGAGAGTTCAAACAGAGTTTAGGAAAACTAACGGCCTCAAGCTATGAAACTGATTTTTATAGCTGTTCGACATATTTAAAAGCCATTTTTTTGTTGTCAACGTTTTCTTTTGCTTATATACAAAGTTCACATTTACAAAAAAAATTGTTCGCTTTATATAGCATATAATACAACTTGTGACTCTTGTCGACAATTAATAAAAAACGTTATAATAATAGAAAATCACAACTTGTGACTTTTGTCAATAATTAGCACGCTAATTATTAATGACACACAACATCTCCCTTACCTCAACAAGAGCTCATACATAATCGTTGTACTTCCGATTAGGAAGTACTCTCCTTCCATAGCGAGTGAATTGAACAGGCTGTGACTCTGTTTCACCATCTGTTGAATAGTTTTGATTGCTGCCCGTACTATTGTCATTTTTACCATTATCCAGAGGAATTATTTGAAGATTTGGATCATCATTGACAATGCATTTTGAGCTCGTTTCGGGAAGTTTAAATAGTGTTGAATCATAATCATCTGTTGTATCTTCTTCTTTTGTGTCTACACGATGATGTTGCAGATGAGAAAAATGTTGTGGTAACGTATGTCTGTTGACATCGACTTCAGCTGTTAAATCATTATGCAATGCCACTATACTTCCTTTCACCCATCGTTGCGTACACGGCGTTACGTGCTTGGGTTTCACCCACACTTTGTCGCCAACTTTCCATTCACGACACTCTGTCATCGACTTTTGTGTTGATTCGACTTTATCGATCCCAGGAATTCGAACTCGTTTGTGATGTTGGCAAAATATTTCAAAAGGTGTGCCGTGTTTTGATGGAACGTTATTGATTAAAAATACAGACATGGGAATACCACATTTTACTCTTGCATTTGTTCTTTTTACCGTCCGATGAACTCTTTCAACTATTCCATTTCCCGATGGTTTTTCAACAGCTCGATAGATGAGCCTTATTTCCCATTTCGCAGCCATAGTTTGCATAAGCTGAGATCTAAATGACTTAGAGTTATCTAGAAGAACTTCAAAGGAGGTCCAAGTGTTGACCATATTGTTTCTAACGCTTGAACAACCGTAGTTGCACTTTTGTCGCTTAATGGTGTCCTTAACGTATATCTGCTTGGGCCGCAATCAATACAAGTGAGATATAGCGATGAATCAACATGAGTAACATCGCAGGCTACTCTTTCCCATACTTTGCTAACAGTAAGATTTCCTTTATCCCACAACATCACATTAGGATCAATTGAGTTACATTCATTGCATTCAGCGACAACCTGTTTCACTGTGTCTCTGGTAACGTGGATACCAGCCCGCATATATAACTCCATACTCTTGGAAACTCCCATGTGTGCTAGTGAATGAATTTTTCGAATCTGCTGTTTATCGTACTTGTAAATGGTATTACATTCTTGTGTTGCAACTTTGTTTTTTATCCATTTTGTTGGCACTCTTGTGAGTTCATCTGCAATATTTTTAGTTGTTGGTACCCATGTAACAGTTACATTTATGACATAATCTTCAACCAATTTTTCAAATATTTGCAGTCTTCGTCGAATTAACATTTCGCATTGCCCAGCACATTTTACAGGTTTGTCACGAGTCGATTCAGAATTTAACCAACTAAATACACTATGAGAATCAGTTTTAATGGAGACATCACTTCGATTCCATTTCAATGCCATATTTAGACCTTCAATACATGCATCTAATTCGGCCACATTGATAAGCATTGCATCAGACTTCGGTCGGAGCCATGTCGCATCTTCTATCTTTCTGTCACCTTGTGTTATCACAACTCCTTTTGCCAGCGAACTTGCGTCGCACCATACAGTCAGAGATGCATTTGGTTTAACATTCCATACACCTTTTGCCGGATCGCACTTTACGGCTTTATCTACAACTTCCTGCATCATTTCGATAACATACTTATTCGTAATAGGTTCATCCCAACCTGCTTCGTTTGTACATCTTTTTATATAGCTGCATGCCGGTCTCAACCATCCAGCAACTGGTAGATTAGCAATCATGTTACCAAATAATGAGAATATATCCCTCTTTGTGAGCACAGATTTAATAATAGGAAGCTCGCGTCCTCTTTTCCAAAACATCTCCTTTGTTAATGGATTTACTGTGACTTCTAATCCTAGTGCACGAACTGGGTTTTCGCCAAAATATTCAGGTGCTTTTGCATGAAGACCCCATTTCTTCATATGTATTACCAGCTTTACATAGCTTTAGCTTTACATCCTAAACTAGAAACTATATTTTAATTACATCTATGTCAGCCTAATAGATCAAAAGAGGGTGCTAGGCTGGTCAACAGATCTTTTTACCCCTTAAGTCTTTGCATAGGAGGCCTTCTACAAGACAGTAGCTGGATGCATTTAACGTCTTCCCAAGATAAGTATTTTTATCAAGACACCATCTCTAGCCTTCACTCAACCAAGAGCCCTAAGGCAGGGGGTGTTTTATGTTGGAGTTAGCTTCTTCTAAAAAAGCGTATCCTTCAATTGAAGCGTAATATACAATTCTATGCTTTATTATGCAATAATAAAAAAGATGTCAAAAAGATCTTTATGACATGAGACAAATGATTGCTTGTTCTGCATACTAATTTGTTTTGGGAATTTCCAATTTTCCAGTAATCGTATTTATTTTATACTTGCACCAAGTTTGGCTTCTTGTTTATTTGGGTTTGAAAAAATTTAATTTTTTTGAACACCTTTACCTTTTTGTAAAAAGTAAAATAATCTAAATTCCATTTTAAAAGTTTACAAAACTTTTTGTTGTCAGTTAATACAATAAATTTTTAATAAAATAATTTTCCGGGATTTTCATAAAGTCAAATACTCATCTTTTTTTTTTTTTTTTTTTTTTATTTTACTTCACCTCCTCAAGGCCGAGAAGGCCACTACAGACGAGGAGGCTACTTATTTTGTGGCTATAACCCTCTCTCAACTCTATAACTCCGAAACACGAACCTTGACGAACAAGGCCGCTGCGCGGAGAAACGATATCTATGTTTTTAAGTCTTCTGTCAACTGATTTCTTGTTCTTTATTTCTCTTTTATACTTTTTGTTAACTTCCAACTATATTAGTGGCTGGTTTGCAGCCTTGTAAGGAATTTATTTGGAAAAAAAAATTGTTTTATACTTTCAAATTTTTTATTTTTTTACTTTTTTTTTAAATAGATTTATCAAAAGCTGTCGGATATTGATGCTGAACGAGCTCCTTCGAGGTTGTTGAATATTTTAATTAGTATTTGGTAGATTTAAAATGATTGTTTTTTGTTTTATTATTTATTAACAAAAAAAATTGAGAAAAAAATTAAATCTGGTCTATGATTAATTTGCTTATGAAGTTAGTATTTTTTTAATTTTATTTTAATTCACCTCCTCAAGGCCGAGAAGGCCACTACAGACGAGGAGGCTACTTATTTGTGGTTATAACCCTCTCTCAACTCTATAACTCCGAAACACGAACCTTGACGAACAAGGCTGCTGCGCGGAGAAACGAGTTGAGCGCGGTACTACCAGGGACGTGGTGAGGATCAAACTCGGAACCACTCGTTTATGAAGCGAGTGCTCTACCGCAATTTGAGATTGATACAAAAAAGTTCTTTTTGAATTAATGTCAATTTATCAATGTTAATCAAAAATTAAATAAAAAGTTAATTGAAAAATATAATGCTAAATTTGGGTTTTTTCTTTTGCAGTTTTTTTTTTTTTTTTTTTTTTTTTTTTTTGCAGTTAATTAAAATTTATATAAATAAATAAATAGCTTGTGCAAAAACCAAAAGCTCTTTTAAAAAGCAGTTTAGAGGAGTAGCTCGCATGGCTCGCCATGTTTGTTTTAGGAGAGCTTTTCTCCGCTCTTATGCTCATTTACCGATATATATATATATATATATATATATTGCATGTATACATATATGTATTTTTATACCTATAATTTACTTATATATACTTTCTAATTAGCTTTATAATAATAAGTGTATATAATTTTATGTTTATATATAGAGCATCACTAATACTTCATGGTCTTGGCTTCAGCACTGAAATGCAGCAGATGAAAACTAAAGAATTTTCTGGAGGTTGGAGGATGAGACTTGCATTGGCTAGAGCTATTTTTATTGTACCAGATCTCTTGTTACTGGATGGTAAGATAATTTAAATTTGCTTTGCTCATTGTGAGTCATGAAGTGTATGCATTTGTAATATATAGTTGCAATTTTTATTTTTTGTTCTATTGATACTTTATAATCTTTAGAACCTACAAACATGTTAGACATCAAAGCAATTTTGTGGCTCGAAGATTATTTACAAGTATTTCCGCTGTATTAATAATTATTTGTTTTATTGCAATATGATATTTGTTTTATATTTTCTCTCTAACATTTTTTAACAAGTATTACTACTTGAGCCATCAGTTAGAATACTAAAAATTAATCATAGTAAAATGTAGTAAATATAAATAAGAACAATTTTACAATAGTCAGGGATATTTAAAGTCATAAATTGTAGTGCTACTAAAATGTTGTTAGTGTTGAGCGCCACTATGATGTATTACACTCAGTTTAAATGTGTTAGTTATATTTATTTTATATTCACAATATGTTTATGTTTGAGCATATTGTGTGCTCAAGATTAACAAACCACAACTCAAAGCTAAATATATTACATCAGCAAATAAATTATTCAGACTCTAATATACCTATGACATCTGAACAGCTATTCAAACAAAGTTATGATTCAAACTTTATTTTATAAAAGTGGGTATGCATAATGAGATAGCCATCTGCAAGGGCTTCAGTATTCAAAAAAGTTTTATTCAAAAACTTTTTAAATCACATGAATAGGGTGCCTAAAGATATTTTTAGAAATTATTGTTTTTAGAACCACATATATATATACACACACACACACACACACAACTACAAATGCATGTTTAGGTAAGCTCTGATGTCACACCAAAACAGCCTGCTGTCAGGGTTTTAGTAGATACATCAACTTTCTTATAGCCTGCATTGACTGAGGGTTTAGCATGAGACAGAAATTTTTCCTTTCAATATTTTTTTTTTTTTAATTTTTTTTTTCCTGAAAGTGCCCTATGTTATAAAGGTAGGAAAAACTAAAAACAATTTGTTATTTAAATATGCTAAAGTACATGTTACAATGGAAGAAGCCAAATATTGTGCAGTAATAAGTTCTTTATTTATGTAAGGTTTATCAGCAACAGAAATATATTTAAAAAATGGTGAAAGTGTTAAAGCGTTGAAGTAATCATTTAGTAAGTCTGTGGTATTGTTTGTAAAGATCCAAGTTTGACTATACCTATAAATTGCTGATATCATAGGCATTTCAGATGAACAAATACTCCATATTTTACTTGAAGAATTACTTATGAAAAAGCTGTTTGGAAAGTTAGTGCCGCACTCGTTAACAATTCAACAAAAATTGAATCAAAAATAAATTTCATTATAATTTTAAGCAGATTAAAATTGAATTTTAGTTTTATAATAATTTTTAAATAATATTTATAACTAAAATCTAACATATGTATAGTCTTTATGCAACATATATATAGTCTTTATGCATAACATATATATAGTCTTTATGCTTGTACTATGAAACATTCAACTGTTCTAAACGTTTTAACAGAAACTGTGAATGTAAAGGAATGTGACTGTTTATGTGTGTAAATGTTTATGCATATTTAAAGTATCATATGCTTGCAGTTAATGGTCTTTAACATCTGTTTTTTATGCAAAGATCTGAGTTAATGGAAAATGAAGCTGCTAGGAAAAAAATAACAAAGCATTGCATTCAATGAAACACTTTAACAAAGTGAAGCTTGTTTATGTTTTTAGGTACGTGAATTGTATTTTGAATTAACCAAGTAGCAATTAATGATTAAGTGGAGCGAAGTGGACACTCTAAAACATTTTTTTATTTATGCTAAATAGCAAACTGACTGTAGTAATAGAACCTATTATGGTATCTTTTATTTAAATGTTGCATGCAAATGACGGAGTAAGCTATGAAGGAGCTTTTAAAAGCAAACAAGAAAGTAATAAATACAAATGGACATGATTTTACCATAAAAATAATGGAGAAGCAAGCCATATTTCCAAAACTGCAATCCAAGAAGAATTTTTTTCAAAATACTTAAACATTTTTTAGTTGTTTGAATTCACTATAGTATATTTTACAACTTAATTCTGCATTATAGTAAAAATATGTTCTTAAAAATGTTTAAATTCCTGCTTAATATTGCTAATTTTTTAATAAATTTTCTTTTTTGATCATTTTCTTTTTAAAGCAAAATAATAAAAAATTTAAAGTACCTTCTAGTTTATTTATGCTGTTTTTCACTTGGATGGGAAAAGTTCCATCCCCATAAAGTTTCTTGGAGTTTAAAACTTACAATCAGGAACAACTGACCCAAAAGAATAAAAGAATGCATTAACCATTTGCAAAAATGTAGTCTTGAGAAAAATTGCATTGGTGTAAATTATTATAAATAATTTAAAAAATTATTATTAATAATTTTAAAAGTTATTTAAGAAAAAATCCAATGTAATTAATATTTCTGAGGCCAGCGAGTAGTAAGGTTTGAAAAAATGTTGCAATGTTATCTTCCATATGGATGGTGTCCCTTTTTGTATATGTATATATAAAGAAAGTCAAAGTGACCCTATGCTTAGATATTTTAACTTTAGGTACATGGGATGTGTTTGTATTTGTATGTGTTATCATATATAAGTTTTATTTTTGTATTAAATTAACTTGAACAATTCTATACTTCTTAAAATTTATCAAGATAAATTTATTTTTAGACATGGCCAACTACTATACTTGTAGTCTCTCATGACAGAATGTTCTTAGATGCTGTTTCCACTGATATTGTTTATTTGCACTCAAAAACATTACATGCTTACAAAGGAAACTATACGGCAAGTTGATATTAAACAGCTTTACTCAGTACTGTTTTATCTTAATTTTGCATTTGGAAATAGTGCTTTTTTATTATATTTTTATTTTTATTATATATTTTTATATCACATTTTATTTTTTATTTTTTTTTTACCACTAAGTAAATCAAAAATACCTTTAAAGTTCTTTTGTTTACAATGACTGTAAGAAAAAATTAGTTGTTATATAATAAATGTTGCTATAGTAAATCGTCAATTTATCCTGACAAAATCTTATAACCGTATAACCTATATAAACCATATATTTTAAAACAAAAAATTTTATTTAATAAAAATAGAAAATTATAAAATAAATTTTCTTTTAAGTTTTTTAATTTTAAATATTTTACTTTAATAACCTTAAAATAAAATAGGATTATAAATAGTATGAGTAATGTAAAAATAAAAGCTAAAAAATATATAAATATTGAATTTTATTTTAAAAAAATAATATTTTAATGTAATATTTTTAAGAAAGATTTTTTATTTTTAGCAATTTGAAAAAACAAGAGATGAAAAGCTTAAGAACCAGCAACGTGAATATGAAGCTCAAAAACAATATAGAGAGCATTTACAAGTATGTTTTTTTTATTTTGTTTGTTGTTAAATTGTAAAATTGTCATGTATATGTTTATAAAATATTTGTATATGTAAAAAATCTGCAGACAGATAGTATACAAATATATAATGAAACTCGTGTTCTAAGCTTCATACTATAATTTATATATTCTTTTAAACAGGCTTATGTGGACAGATGGAGAGTTAATGCGAACCGTGCTTCACAGGCTCAAAGCAAACTTAAAATTTTAGAAAAGTTGTAAGTATTTGGAATTAGTTCTTTTTTCTGTCATTGTACTCAAAATTTATTTAAATTTATTTTTCTAGACCTGACCTTGAGCCAGTTGAAATGGATGTTGAGGTTGATCTAAGGTAAATTTGAAAATTTTTTTTAAAGTTTGTTTCATTTCTTTTTTTTAAATTCGATAATGTGATTTCCTCTTTTTTATTCTTCATATTTCAAATCTTTTATTCATTTTGAGTGCCAGGTAATATAGTTATGTTACAAATTAGATTTATAGTAAATAAAATAATTGGTTTTGCAAAATATTTATAGAAAAAAAAAAAACTTTTTAGAAAAAATTATATCTGCTGTATTTTCACTGTTTTAATCTTTGTTTGTTTTGTTGATCAGTCCCTTATGATGAGAAAATCTTTTTTACATTTTTTGTTATATATATATATATATATATATATATATATATATATATATATATATATATATATATATATATATATATACACACACACACATTTTTATTTTGTTTTTGATGCAGGTTGCCTGTCTGCGATAAAGTACAAGCAACAATGTTTCGCTTTGATCAGGTTTTTAATAATTTTTTTTTTTGATTTTAAATATTTGTGAATTAAACTACTTTGTAAAATTTTTGACATTTTATTATTATTTTGTTAATATTTGTGTTTATTGTTCCTTTTAGCTGACATTTGCATATAACAACTCAAAAACAATATTTAAAAATGTCGATCTAACTGCTAATATGGATTGTCGTATAGCTGTGTTGGGAGAAAATGGATCAGGAAAAACAACTTTGTTAAAAATTCTATTAGGTGAACTTGAACCAACTGGTGGTATTCGCCATGTGCATAGGTATGATGTTACTTTTTTTAAAACCATTTACAGTAGATGAGCTTCATACTTTTTGCTTTTGTTGCTGATATTTTTTTTCTGGATTAGCATTTATTTATTTTATAAGGAGTTTACGAGTTGGGTATTTCAATCAGCATCACGTCGACTCATTAAATATGAATCAATCAAGTTTAGAACTTTTTAAATCTCGATGGCCTGGTATAATTTTTTTTTTACATAAGAATTTTAAAATGTCTTTTTAGTAATATGTTAAACAATAAATATGTAATATGAATAATTGTGTAAAATTACATAATAAATATTAATAATGTTAATTAAATATTATTAGTATTATTTTTTTTTTCAAATATAATCTTTTTTTACATGCAGGAAAGCAAGATGTTGAATACAGATCACATTTAGGAAGGTATGGTGTAACAGGAGATTTAGCAATGAGGTCTATATCAAGTTTATCAGGTGGTCAAAAAAGTAGAGTAGCATTTGCTGTAATGACCTGGCATGAGTAAGAAATTATTTTTATTAATAACATTTAGCATTATTATATATTTATATTATTATATATTTATATTATTGTTATTATGTTTATTAGTAACAATAATATATATTTACATTTATTAAATTCCTGAAAATTTAAATTTTTAAAATAAAATATCTTCAATGCAAAAATTTAAATTTTTGCTTCTTAACTCTCTATAAATACACTTATTATATTTGTAGTTAAGCATATATCATTAAAAACTTATTAATAAAAAAAAAACATAACTACTATTTATAGTATTCAAGATGTTGAAAGCATTTTGATTTAGAAAAAAATTGTTTCAATAGAATGCGCTTAGTATTTTGAAATCTATAAAACTAGAGAGCGACCAAGATGTTTCTGGGTGAAAATTTTTTAGTTAATTTTTAATTTTCAGAAGTTCTACACATTATTATTTGTTGAAAGATTAATGACCCTGATTCAAGTTTCATATATTTATTAATACAGTATTTAGCACTAAAATTATATTTGTAGTGCTAATACAATTATATTAACAATTATACTTGTAGGTGGCGGCAATAACATCTGTCGTCACCTACAAGTATAATTGTTCTTCTTCTAAAAAGCATATTAATTTTCTTTAAGCATTTAAAATTTTAATTATGATTAACAGTTAGAATGAAAAACTAACTGCGGAACATTTTGCTATTTTTAGGATAAGCATTTACCAGAATTGAGTGATTACAAGAAACACTTTTTTTTGTGACCTTCATAACATATGCAAATATATATTTTGCTCATAATTTATACAGATATAAAAATAGACAATTTATTTTATGATTTTATGTAGGTAATCATAAGTTAAGTATTATGTACTTAACATATAATTGCCTACCTATACAAAATGTTTCACAAATTAAAAAATGCAACAGATGAAAAGTTACTTAAACCACAAATATTGTAATGATAGTTTGATATTTTTAGTCATGTTTTAAGTTATTGGGGAACTTGACTTGATGATAAATAGTACTTGGCACCCTGAGGAATAATCAAAGTTGTAACAAAGGTTCTCTTATGTAGCCTAGACACCAATGCACACCAAGCGATAACAGGGACACCATGTGTGACATGAGTTGTTGACAGCTGATATTGAAATCAGTTTTTGTGAGAGCTGCTGCAGCGTTTGGGAAACTTACTTAAAAAATTTAGTTTTTTTGTTTTGCAATAATGTGTGGGAATGTTGCCTTAACGTACCATGAGCAAATAGTAAAAATTTGAGAATGTCTTAGGTGACCACAACCACTTTTACTTTGACAATGATTCAATCTCTTATTGATGAAACAAGAGATGATAGCTCCTTTAAGCAGCTACAATGATAGTATTCGGAGAAAAGCAAAAAAGATGCAACTTTATAATGTCTAAAGCGTTGCAGCTAGAGGAGTCCAGCTACATTTGCAATACATTTTAGGGCCTTGTCTAAAAAAGGGCATAATTAGAAGAACCAGCTCAAATATGACAACAGTATTCTATGCAGGGTCAAACACAAAATTTATATCGGTAGAGAATGTAGTTTGGAGTATGGAAGTGTTGAGCTTAACAAAGATGAGCAATCTTAGCAGATACAGATGAGAGGATCGAAATCTGTGTCATCAGGGAGTAAATTGTTAGACTCAGGATGAGATGTTTTTTAATTAAATATGCAAGGACCATGGTGATTGTACAATACTCAGTGGGTTCTGAGTTTTTTCCAGAGTTTGATTAAATAGTTTAGAGAGAATTAAAGAAAGTTAAACTGAAAATAATGGAGTTTAGCATCAAACAACATAACTTTAAAAATTGATTTCTTGCAAGGGGGCATCCATAAAGATGTACTGAGTAAAACCACTGATTTAACACTTCCTCCTCCCCTCTCTTACTCCTTATAGTAAGTTAATAGTAAGAAATGTGATGTTATAGTGATTATATTGTAGAAGAAGTACAAAATGAAGTTTTTAGTGAGATCATAGCATCATCTGAATCACCTAAAGGAAAACAAGCTCAGTACAAGCTGAAGTCAAAGGCAAAGCAGAAATTTACAAGTGAAGATTATTAGGGTTGTCTGGAATGCAAGTTACAAAGGGTTAGTAGTACTTGAGTCCAACTTTTGAGTTTAATGATCATTAAAGTCACTAATCATAACATTATTGGCTGATGGATAACGAGACAGGGCTCTGTCAATTTGATCCTAAATAACATTAAAAGAATGTATTCATGAGAAGAAAAAAAGGCTTAAAACAAAGAGAAGATAGAGTAAAATGGTGTTGAATAGAAACCACATAAAAGAATGGTCAGAGGATTCAAACCTAATTTCATATCAAATAGGTAAACTGATATGTAAGTATAGGTCCAAACCAAGTATGTAAGTATTCTTATTGGTCAATAATGTGTTTAACTAATCAAAAAGTTGTTTATTACCATTAGAAACATTAGACTTCATATTTGTATAATCTGTATAAAAATGTACGTACTTTTTCACATTGACTTGATTTGATTTCGTTTTTGATCTTTCCGAGTTTGGAAAAAAATGGATGCTTTGTGAGTCAGTTAAAAGGAAGCCCTAAAGTTGTCTGAAATCTGTTAATTTTGTTTGCAGAAACAGGGTTGGAACAGTATCGTACGCTAGATTTTTTCTAAATTAACACTATTTGTAATAGTAAAGTCACTCTCATATATTACTAAAATAGGTTTTGATCGTCCACCTTTACATGTTGCAAACTTTGTTTTTTATTAAATTAGAAACAATAATTTATGGTACACAGGATATTTGTTCCTATGGTACACAGGGAATTTGTCTTAAGATTTTCATTTTCATTATGAATTGTACAGGAATTTAGGTGTGCTATTTTTTGACCAATTAGTTGCCTACAGCATTGGTACACATTGGTACACAGCCAAGAAGCAGGAAAAAAATCTGTTGCCTGAGGTTTACGTAAAAATTTCGTAATGGAAATAACTGATCTTGGTCAACTTGGCCAGGTCGAGTAGCTTCACAAATAAGACTACAGCACAAAGAATTTTATTTTGTCGGATTTTTAAGAATAACTTCGGAAAAATTAAAAGCACCAAGTATATCATTATTTGGTTTTTCCTCTTTTTAAATCTTTTTAAGATATCAAATCGTTTTAACCCTTTTTAAGAGTAATTTATTTGGATCTAGTTGCAGAAGGTTTGGATCTAGTATAAGTTGCTGAAGGTAAGCCCTATTAATTATGATCATAGTTTGTTGTGTGATAGAGCCTTGTTGCGCGTTGTGATAACAGACGTTAAAACTGATATTTATTTGCTGGTATTGATTTTTTCCAGGTTTCTAGTTGTAGTACATAGAAACAAAATCATGAAATAATTTAGTTACCGTTAAACACTTGTTGTCATCGTTGCCAAAATAAAGAAGTAATAAAAATTTACGTCTTAAATTTAAGATGTTATTAATTATATCTTAAATTTAAGACGTAAATTTTTATTATTTATTTATAGTAATTTTGTTTATTAGTAAATTTTACTTTTCGAACAAATTTAATAATGTTCTTTTGTTATCTAGGTTTAAAAAAAAAAATAGTTTATGGAAATTTAATTGATTAGAAGTAATTTTAACATGTTTATTAATATGCATTTATTGTATTTTGCAGACCAAACTTCTTCATTCTTGATGAACCTACGAACCATTTAGACATAGAAACTGTTGAAGCTTTAGGCAAAGCACTTAATAAATTTAATGGAGGTCTTATATTAGTCTCGCACAACGAACAATTAATTCAAATGGTTGCCAAAGAGACATGGCTGTGTGGCAACCAGACTGTAACTAGAATAGAAGGCGGTTTTCCTGCATACAAAAAAGCTCTTGAAGAAGAATTCCAGCGAATCAATGCACGATAGTATTTATACGTAATTTATTAAATATATTGTACTTTTATTTAGTGCGATAACATAATACGCTTTTTTAATGAATTTAATAACAGAATGTTTTGTATAGTAATTGAAAACCTTGGTGCAAAAACGATGTAACTCCACTTTTGGTCGATTTTTATATTTGAACGGAATATTACTAATTATAAGATAACAGTTGATGCTAAAAATAATTGAGTTAAAGTACTGCTTATCCCATTTAACTAAGGAGTTGACTGAATGATACTTATTCCTTACATTTAAAGCTAATCTGTTTTTTCATTCTCCTGAACAATTTACAAAAATGGACATTGTTTTTGCACCAAGATCTTCGATTATGGTCGTAGAAAAAACGTTAAACTGTTTTACATGTTTTCTGTAAATGCCTACGGCCGTCATCACATCTCTTTGTTAAGCTTAACGGAATCCAAAATGTCACTTTAGTTTTTTCAAGTGAACTTTGTTCAAATACGTTAAAATAAAATCCAAAATAAAACACTTTAAAAAATATTAAAATTTTTTTTTATACTATAACTTTTTTAAAAAATTTTTTTATACTATAATTTTTTATACTGCTAAAGCTTAAAAGATATTTTCGGCGTATCGTTAAGTTTAACGGAGAGATAAGAAAAAGTAGCCGGTAACGGGAAATAAAGCCTTAAGTTGTCAACTATTGTTTTGCGTGTGACTATGTTTTTTGAGAGTGAAAGCTGCAAAATAACCAAAACAGTTAAATAGTGAGGCAATGTTGATAGCTGGGAATGCTCAATTTGTTTAACTTAACTTTTACATTAACGTCAGCTAAAGTTTGCTTCGGTTGTTTGACATCCATAAAAAAGATTAATAAATATATTATTTTAAAAAGATTAAGAAATATATTTTATTGATAGTAGAGTTAATTTAATCAGATTCATTTCATTAATACGCGTTTTGTCGGTAAAAATTTGAGCAAAGGTACCAAGTCTTTAAAAACTAGTTTAGGAGATAATGAGCAGTAAAGGACATAAAGTAAATCTCGTTAAGATTAAAAAAAATCTTTTTATTACTTTTGACCTAATAGATAAAAATAAACTTTTAATTTGTTTTTGACTCAATGGGTAAAAAAAGGTGCTTTTCTAAAATATGGAAAAGGTACCAAAAATCTTATTTGTAATTTTCAGACAATAAATAAACAACTTTGAAAGATAATTAAAAGTTTTTATTTAACTTTCAAAGTTGTTATTTTTCAATCTTTTTTACTTATATCGGTTATGAAAATATTTTATAAAGAGTTTCGATAAATATGTAATAAATAAGTTTTTAATGAAATGCAGACATGATAGTTAGGTCCATAAATTACGCAACGGCAAATTTTGCTAATAAATTAAACGAATATTACCAAAAGTTTTCCCTCTCGCGTGTTATTTAATAAACCAAGAACGTATGACATTTATCTCATTGTTTAAAAGTCAAGATATGCCCACTATCAATTGTTATAAATAATACCAAGACAGTGAGAAAAATTTGCGTCACAGAAATACTTTTAGGGAGTCCTTAAATTACGTCACGCATTTTTTGACAGATTTTGACCCCTCCCCCTCGTCACAAAATCGTAACACTTAAAAGCAATTTTTGTATGAGTCGTCACAAAATTACCAACCCCTCCCTTCCCCTTATAGCGTGACGTAATTTATGGACGACCCCTTATATGATTATACATTAAAATGACACATCTATCCAATTAAATAAAAAAAAAATATTATGTAAATTATTGTAATTATTGGGTTTTACTATTTTGTTAAAAAAAAATTTTTATATTCAATTACATTTGTATAACTTTATAACAAAAAGTTTTTTAACTGTAGGGGAGGAGTGGGGCAGCCTGAAATTTTTCATTATGAGTGGTGTCTAAATACTGTTATTTGATGTAAACAATTAAATTTCTTCCCCTCTATTTAGCAGAAATTGTTTTGTTTCCCTGCGTGCGCTAGAAGTCCTTATTTTAAAATGTACCTTGAAAAAGTGTTTACATTTGGGTAAAATGGGATAGAAAAAAGAAATATTTATGACTCGCTTCTTCCCGTCGCCATTTGATTATTTCGATTGGTGAAAGCTCTTGAACATTTTTATGTAGAGTAGGTGATTTTATCAGTTTCTATTTAATAATTTATGTTAAAATGTTGTTTTAAGTTTAGTTTTCCCACTTCTACTTACACTTGTCCCACTTTACCCCAATGGCACGGTTTTTCTAAGAGCAAAAATTTATATTCTTAGTCATAATTAGATGGAAACTTAAGGCGATTGAATCGGTGCCTAAAAAGAAGGTATATTTGTAAAAACCTGTTAGGTTAAGTTTATACTGCAAAAAAAAATATTGCAATTACCCTAAAAAAAAATTTGACGTGCTACTCCCCCCTATAATTGTTCTAGAACTTGACTTGTATAAAAAATTAAAATCCGAAAAATATCAAAACAAAAATGCGAGTCAAAAAATGATTTGATTTTTGTCAAAAAGAATAAGTTTAAATCTTGAATAGATTAACAAAATCTAATTGTCGGGAGTAGCGATTGCTAACAATATCTTGTTTAATCTAAAAATGATTTATGATATAACCTACAACACATTCTAAAACAAATTCTTTTTACTTTGCAATATTCATATTAGTATATCATTTTATTTATTTTTTTATTTGTTAATTTAGGTGCCCCAAGAAGTCTTAACGGTCTTGTCACAGAGCACCGTGGAAGTGCATTTAACGAAGAAGTTCACGCCTCCTTCCTTACTGTGACACGAAATATGTCCAAAGGTCGTTTCGAACCTCAGTCTCCTGCTTAAAAAGCAATTACTCTAACCACTACGCCACGGCCTCAAAAATTTGTGACTCAAACGGGGTACAAACTCGGATCTCCGCGGCGTACCTAACTGAATGAGCTAAACGATCCTAATGACCTAAACAATCTTAATGAGCTAAACGATCTTTATTTATATTGCATCTTTACGAAAACAGTATTTTGACGTCAAAGTTTTTTTGCAAATAAGTTATTATTAAACAAAGCTTGCATATCTATTAAAATATTTTCTAACGTGTGAGACATTTTGTTTTAACGGTAATAAAATGTTTACTGAACGTTAGCAAAACATAAATGTCGGTTTATTTTATGAAAAAATGACGCTAAAAATTATAACCGGCATAGAATTTTAGTAGTTAGCGATGCCTATGGTCTTTAACAATGCATTAAACGCCTATCTATTAATACGTCCTTAATTAAACCAAATATTCATGAGCGTCTTTTTTTATAAAAATGTGGCAAAATTAGCAACTTGCAATAGCTGAGTTATTGAATTTTGGGGTCGTCCATAAAAGACGTAACGCCAAGTTTAACTAATGGCAAGAAGTCGGAGAATGTTGGCTATCATGGACAGAGATTTTTAGAGTATAGTAGCACCTTATGTTTATTAAAAATCTCCGCGAAAGGGAGCCAATAAACTTCTACTTTTGGTTAGAATTAAATTCTCAATGAGAATTTAATTCTAACCAAATGTAGAAGTTTAATGGCTCCCTTTCGCGGAGATTTTTAATAAACATAAGGCGCTACTATACTCTAAAAATCTCTCCCCATGATAGCCAACGTTCTCCGACTTCTTGCCATTAGTTAAACTTGGCGTGACGTTCTTTATGGATGATCCCTTTCTTGAAAACTTTAGAGATATCTTCAAATCATTTCATAAGATAACCCTAAAAATTTGAGATCGTAATTCAAAGAGGTTTAAAGGTTGTTGCGGTTTGAAGTTTCATAAAACGTTGACGTGGTCATTTTTCAAAATTCTGAACTTTTGAGCACCAAGTCACTGGTTAATTTAGCCCTATATTAGAATTCTTATAAGTTTTTAAGAAAGAAAATCTGTTTTTTTTTAATTGCAAATACAGTCGAACTTATTTAAAACACAATGTTAGTCTAAAAATTATGTTAAAAGTCTCATCTGCTTAAAAAACGATAAAATTTATTTTAACTTTGAAAAGCAAAAGATCAATGTGCCAGCAAGCTATTGACTTTTAGTTTTTTGGAAATGGTTTACACATCTATATCCTTTCAATAAATTAAATGACCTCAATGGGTGGTTTTGTTTAATTGAAGATATATTAAATTCAAAAAAACTTTTGACTGTCAAAAGACAACTTTAAAAGCACTATGAAATCATTAAATGAATCTTTAATAAAAATTATTAGTTCATTCTCTACAGTATTTGTTCATCACTTCCATGTCGTCTATGGTAAAAACAAAATATTCCATATACCCTTGCCCAGTTATACCCAACATCTTGAGAATGTTACATCTGTCTTCAACAAATTCTTGTTCGGGGTACGGCCGATAAAAAGTTTTATCCGATATAACCTTGAGGTTTTATAAGCATATTATCATCTAGTACTGAGAGTATTGGCCAACAGAGTGAGTTGTTTGATTTTCAAAGCTACAAGAATAAACTGCTTAACGTTAACATTATTATGTTTCTCAGCATTGGCTAAAATCTCGTTAACCAAATTTTCAGTTTTTGCAAATACGTTTTCTACTAATTCTTCTGTAAAGCCTTCAATAAGCCTTTAATAATTATTATTTATATCAACGATATTTACTTATCATCTAGTATACTAAACTTTAATCTTTTTGCTGATGACACTCAAGTTTTTTATACTCACTCTAACATTAAGACAATCTTTACCACTATGAATAGTGAACTTGATAACCTTAATGAATGGTTTAAAGCCAACAAACTCTCTCTGAATCCTACTAAAAGCAAATATACTCTCTTTTCTAAATCCTCTAAATCTGAAACGCTGCCTTTAAAACTCCCGGATATTTTAATAGAAAAAACCAAGTTACAACGGACATACTGCATTAAATTCTTAGGCGTTTTAATCGATGAGCAAATAAATTGGAAAGAGCATATTAATCTAATAGAAAATAAAATTTCAAAAAGTATTGGAATTATGTATAAAACTAGATATATGTTGGATAAAAACTGTTTAAAATCTATTTACTTTTCATTTATTCATAGCTATATTAGTTATTGTAACATTGCTTGGCACTT